GGTTATGTTACATTGATAAGGTCTTAACACATTGTTTTAAAGCTGGAGATTGCAAACGTATTTTTGTTGTAGCAGTTTTGCAGGCACCAGGACTAGGGTGCATGCATGACAAAAAATGATCGGCACAAACAACCTTTTTACTACGTGTGCGTACACATTCAGTTTGGTTGGTAGGCAGTAGGTGAGTTTTTGAACCAGCCATGGCAGACAAAGGTAGAAGGCAATGCACAGGAAAACAACAAGATACAAAAGTTACAGAAGAGCTTGCAAACAGCACAGCGGCTGAAAAGGCAAATGACACTCCCAGGTTCTCCAGTGCCCAAGGCATCCCAAAAAGAGAGAGAGAGAGAGCAAGGGAAACTGTTGCAACGAAAGTTGCTACCAAAAAACGCAAACAAAAAAAAATGTGCAATCAAAAAACCTACTGTTTGACAAACGTGTTTGTGTGACATATGTTTGGTTTGTACATGATCAAAACCACATCGTTTTCTAGAAACCTCCGCAATGCTACGTACTTTTACAAGAATAACATGAAGGCCATATCCTATTAGAACGTCTATTTCTACAAATAACCTATAGTTTATATCCTATCTGCAAGTTTTGTCACACAAATTGTTGTTTATTTGATCAAAGAGCCTTATATAATATAAAATAGACTAATAGTTCAAATTGTAACCAAATACTAATCGTCAGGGTTCTGTTTAACCTCATGTTAGCGGAATCCACCTAAATGCACCCATGTTCGAAAGATCACACTGTGCGTGATTCTCCCTTGAGAACCACTGTTCTGTACGGAATAGAAAAGGCTTACTTACGAGCCTTGGTTCATCTGGGTGATGACCTTTCGAACCTTTTGGAGTACCTATTGGAGTTCACGGGCTCCAAAGAGGGCTCAAAATTGAGAGGCCCCTCTGGTGACCTCTTGTGGATTGCTTTCAAAGAGCTGCCGCAAAAAAAGACTGCACAGTCACAGGTCCATGATCCAGCCGTCGAAGACATAAACTTGTTTTGCCAGGTCAGTCATTCGCGGTGAGCAGCTCTTGCAGAACTCCATGTTGCAGCAGCGAGCCTAGCGCGTAGTGTGCCGGGGCTCTGGTGCTTTTATTTTTGGAGACTTGAAAATACTTGAAAGTGACAGGTGGTGACCTAGCAGGTTTCGGCTCCGGGGAGTGCGTTTTTCCGCGTTTGGCACTTCTGCACGATCGGATGAGAAACGGTTCAACATCTTGGAGACCGAATCCGTTCCCAGGAAGGTCCGATTGAGAACACACCACGAAGAAGCAGGTGGAATGTGATGTGCTCCTTTCTGAACGTCAGGGATCTCCTTTTCTTCGGGTAGGAGAGTTTACCTGGAGGAATGTGGAGACTGCAGTTTCCTGACTCAAACACCGAAAACACCAGTACTGGCACCCAGTTCGGGTGCTTCATAGAACCCCCGCCTCACCATGTATGTTCCATCCAATCACCACCCAGACTTTGTAGTGCCAGGGTGGAGACAGTAACCGGTGCGCGTCCAAAAAACACCCGACACGACCGCCCGAACGGCGGTACTGCCACAGTCCTTGGGCGGTTGTTCAGGGGGTCGATGATGGGGCGGCATGACCCACTTCAGTCTGGACCCCAACACACTGCCCTGGCGCAAGTCTCCAAATGGCGCCATCAAAACCCGGACACCTGGTTGAGTCGGGTGCAGGTACATGGAGGAGTTGGGGAAACCGACATCTGAGAGATCGTCGATGGTCCGCATTGTGTTTTTGTTTTTTTTTCGTTTTCGTGGGGCACACGTTTGGTCGAACCTGAGGATGTTCAAATTTAGTTTGGAACTGTTTGGACTCTCCTCCATCATCTGCAATATATATATATACATATGTGCCTTACGCAGAACTGATGGTTCAAATCCTAAAGATATTTAAAGACTACATAGATCTGGTATGGTCTGTATATGTTTGTATTGTACATTTGCAGGTAAACCACCACTTGGGAGTTTTGAGAATAATGTTGTTGTTGTTGTTGTTGTCGTTGTCGTTGTCGTTGTCGTTGTCGTTGTTGTTGTTGTTGTTGTTTTTGTTGTTGAGTTTGTTGAAGGTTCATGACACAAGACATGTTAATGTTGGCGCCTGATTAGTAAATAGGGGCTCCCCCCCCCCCCTCTCAAACAAACAGGAGGTCCTCTATAATAAACTATCACCAAAACAAATCTGGATTCCTGTGAGAATTCCTTCTTGTAATTGATTGTAGTATTCATTTTCCTTTCATAGATTGTATTCAACTTCCTTTCTCAGGTTCTTTGTAATTGTTCTCAGCAATCCTTTTGCTTTGCAGCCTCAGATCTTCAGCTCAAGAGAAGCCCCAAGCTTTCATTGGCCTCAGGAGCTAAGTAAAGGGAGATTCCATGTGCATTTTT